CAGGGGTGCCAAAGTAGTTCTTTTTTGGGTCGTACATTAGAGTCCCTAATCAAAAAAGAGTACATACCCAAAAAGGAACTACTTTGGGGCCCCTGGGTAGCAGTTTAGGCGGTTTAGGGTTTGGGGTTCAAAGTTCAGAGTGGGGTTTAGGGTTTCGTTGTTCTTTTGAGTTTGTGTATGCATCTTCGGCATAATGCCGCAAGTACTGTGAAATTTGCCTCTGTATGTGTGTATATTCTGTTTTGGGTAGCACAGTATGGTGTATACGTCTTTAATGTGTCTACAAGAATTGTTAACGGCTTCTCTCTGGCTGACGATGCTTATTCTGACGAGGGGATTGTGGAAGAGGGCTTCTGCTGTAAACCTCACCCGAAACCCTGGGCCCAAGTACTAAGCCCTATACCTGAACCTCTGAAGCTTCAAACCCTAAGCACTAAAGCTCGAAGCACTCAGCCCTGAACTCTAGCAATCCTATGCCCTAAACCCTAAGCATCCCTTCACTCTTTTTCCCCAATGGGTTGTGTTTCCAGATCTAGGCCTGGCCCATGTTGGCTCTGAGGACACAGAAGGGTGTGTCGTCCAGCCCATGACTTTTTAAAGGTCCCCGCTTTCGAAACCAGAATGCCGATATCCTAAAATTTGCTTCTGAGATCCGAACCCCAATGCTCCCAATAGCCGAAATGGTAGGTGCTCTGTAAAGACCCTCGACCTTAAACGGTTGTTGATATAAATCCTGCATTACCCATAATACGGAATATACCATTATTCCCATTGTTCAGGGTTCTTAAGGTAATGCAGGTTTTATATCATCAACCGAAGTAGGTAATGTTTCTAGACCCTACTCTTTAGTGTACTAGATTAGGGTCCCCTATTCTCGGAAACTCCCATCTAGACCTCTGCGGTTGCAGTTCCCAGAGACGGTGGCTTCGCTGTGAGAATCTTGCTTTCAAGTCTAGCTATAACCCGACCTACCCAATATAGGGGCCTAAATAATTACCGATACTATTTTGAAGGTGTCTTATTGTAACTATAGTATAATGTACCCCTAAACCTTCTATTTGTATATTAAGGCCCTTATAACTATAAGTATCCACCTGCCTAGAGCCATCAAGCACTCGACAGAAGATGTCTTCGCGTCTACGCACCGTCTATGGGCAAAACGAATTTCAGTGCAACCAGGACCAAAAGACACGAAGCCCACACACTTACCCGCAAATTACTCTTCACTTTGTGTCGCAGCCCCGACTATATACACTCACGGTCGAAGACTACGCACTGGGTTCGTGAATCATTTACATCGGGTCACAACTTGCCTGGACCCCAAAAGTATGGAAAATAATAGCCTTTTATAGGTTTTGGGCCATTATTTTACCTACTTTGGGGGGTCTAGGTAGAGATCTTGTGATGCAAGTGACTCCATCGAACGGATTCACTCTGGACCACAGGGCTTTTACTGCAATAATTATTGGAGCTTGGACAGTTAGTGTAAAGTAGTGTTTAACTGGCCTTCCTCATACATTGACAATGTGAAACCGCTCCTACACCGTTGAATAAGCTTTCCATACTGTTGATGGACAAAATCCTGCATTACCCATTATAAGGAATATACCATAATTCCCATAGTTTAGAGTCCTTAGGGTCATGCAGGATTTTGTCCATCAGCAGTAGTGCTCACTTCAGCCAGTTGCCTAAAGAGTACGTCGCCGGCCTTTCACCTGCCTTTTGTTCCTCGGGTTTAGGTTAGAAGCTGCCCCCACCCTGTAATAGTGACTATAAGGGTTATAGTAGGGCCCTAGTATATTCCTATTATACTACTATTACAGGGTGGGGGCAGCTTCTAAGGTTTAGGGGTCAGGGTATGTACATGCAACCGGGTTGCCCAGTAGCTGGGTGGCTGAAGCCTCGATGGACTCTACTGCACTCCAGGACAGAAAATCTTTACTTTACCCATAGGCCCCAAAGTAGTTCCCTTTTTGGGCTTCGTATATAGAATCCTATAGCGTAATCCCAAAAAGGAACTACTTTGGGGCCTCTGGGTAGCCCTAACCCTACCCCCTAAGCCCCAAACCCAGAACGTTGGCCTTGTAAACCCTAAAGATCCTACACCCAAACCCTAAATTCTAAGCTCTAACTGAACCCTGCTGCACTTTAAAGAAAACATCCAAGCCCAAAAACCCTAAACCCTTAAACCCCTAAACCCCTACACCCAAACCCTAAACCCTAAACCCTGAAAAGCCCTAGACAGAGAGGCCGGCAAGGTCTGGTCCAGCTCGGGTGGAGGCTCTGTGCCCTTCTGGGAAGCCGAAAGGATTTACTCTAGGGGCCTTAATAATTACCTATAGGGTTCCTTTAAAGGGGTCCTTCTAGATTTCAATTTAAAGAGGTCTATAAGGGTTACTATACGGGATCTGCAAGTGTACTATAATAAAGCGGCCTTAACAATTACCTATACTACTATTATAGGAGGTTCCTTGTTGTGTTTTTAGTATAATGTCCCCCAATTCTAATTAGTCTAGTGTTGAGGGCCGTAGTGTTTAGGGTGTCGGGTTTCGGGGTACAAGCTCAATGCGGAGTCTGGTTATGGAGAGCGGGGTCTTGTAGGGTTATATATATATATATATATATATATATATATATCAGTGTGTTGGAAGGTAAGGTGTCAATCTATGGTCTCTATAGGCATGTGTGGGGTATAATGCAGACGCATAGACCTGTGAACACCCTTCGGGTTTCGGCGGCTTGGATGATTTTAAAGTTCAGGGTGGTACGGTTGATGATGTAAATCCTGCATTACCTTAAGGACCCTAAACTGTGGGAATTATGGTATATTCCTTGTTATATCATTCCCTATTATGGGTAATGCAGGATTTATATCATCAGCCGTAGAGGGGTCAGTTGCTCGGAGGGGTCCTCGTTTTGGAATTGTCAGGGTTGAAGGTGTAGGGTTTTGGCCCCATACTCTCTACCTATGGTCTTCATTGTAGTTCCTTATTTTAGTTGAACCAATTATATAGTAAGGATTCTAAAAGGTGGCCCCAAAAAGGAACTACAACGGAGATTATAGGTAGGTCATGGTCTGTGTCTGAGTTTTCGTGCATCAGGTCCATTAAAGCAGTGAGCTGTGAACCTGAACCGTAAAGGACGCACGCCCAGAGGCTCCATATAGTACAGTTATGGAATTAGGTCCCAAGAGACCATCCATATCATGGCTTTTGGGACCTAGTTCCATAATGGTACTGTATATGGAGCCTCTAGGACGAGAGCTCGGGATCACAAAAGGCAACAGTACGTGGTAGTCCTCTACTCTCCAAAGGAACCGACAGTAGTATAATCCGTTCCAAAACTCAAATACCTACGTCATCATCTGGGACCTTGACTGTTCGGGAAGCTGCGATCCAATATTCAAGTATCTGCATGGTTATTTGGTTTTGTATCCCCAAGGTAAACCATACACCCGCGACCTCGAATCATCCATCTTGGGAGGATCCCCCTACCTCCCCGCTTCCGCCGGGATCACAGCCTGCCGTTTAGGGTTTCGGATTTGGAGTCTGGGATTTATACACGGGTCTTACGGTTTAGGGGGTCGAGGAGTTTGGGATGTCTACACCCGGAGGCCTCACAAGGTGGGATGAAGGTAGGTGAGATTAAGGATCCCTTATATAAGGACTCTTACTTGGGAATATCCCACCTACCTTCATCCTACCTTTTGAGGCCACCGATACATAGGGTCCACGGTTTAGGATCTACGGCTTAGGGTTTAGGATTCGGGCTATAGGTTTTACGGCTTAGGATGCAAGGTTTAGGATTTCGGGTTTAGTTTAGGGTGGGTTTTGTGCGTGACTCAATTTACGTTTTCACCAAGAGGACGACTTGAGCTCAATGACATGCTAAACGTAAAAAGAAACCTTAATTCAAAGACTCTACTACATCCCGAACCATTGCCAATGCTATACATCAGGGTTCCCTCATATAGCGAATGTATCAACATCCCCAAAAACTTATGCCACTCGTGTATGTTGTTGCATTCGGTTATATACTCCGCAGTAGATGACCCCACTTCCACTTGGGGGGGGATTTTTTCAAGAGTAACCAGTGTACCTCTAAACAGGGGTATGACCCTACCAAATCGGTACATTAGCTTGTCTTTTAGCCCAGTCGGGGTCCTTAGGACAGAGCTCTCACCGGCGCTCCATATTGGAGTTTCCGAAGATCGGGGACCCTATACCCAAAGGCCGCAAAGCAGTTCCTTTTTGGGGGTTCATACATAGAATATAGAATCCTATGAGGTAATCCCAAACAGGAACTACTGTGGGGCCTCTGGGTAAGGACCCCCCAAAAAGGGTACCCCTACTTGTTGGAAGCTCTCATATCAGGGACCCCTAAAATCTGAAGCTCCCGAAGAAATTTCTTGTAAGCCCGAAGTAGGATCCCCAGAGCTTGAAGCACTACCTAAAGTTTAAGGTTTAGGGTTTAGTCTGGTCTCTGTTGTAGTTCCTTTTTTGTTAAACCAGTTGTACAATTAGGACCCTATGTATAAGGCAACCAAAGAAGGAACCGCAATGGAGACTATAGCTAAAGCCAAAGTCCTGAAACCCTCCAGTCCCAAACCCCTATAAGACCCCAAAACCCTAAGCCCTAAAACCTAAACCCTAAACCCTAAAACCCTAAACCCCAAAACACAGTTTGATGAAATTCCCAGCAACTCGCCTGCCACTGCGACATCTCGAGGTCGGAAAGGAGTTGTCAGAAGAAAGGGGGATGTGTAGGATTTGGGTGTTATGGTTCAGGAGGGTGTGTGACGATCTGTTTCATGACTTAGCACGTATAGGGTTGAGGGTGTTAGTTAGTTTCCTCACCACATCAGGTAAGCGTGGTGGCCCCTGAGCTGCCCTACAACAAAATTCCGAGAAAAGTATACGACCCTGCATGCAACCCGATGAAGCCCTTTCAATCGGGCCTGTAGTGTCCGCTTTGTGTAGAGTTCTGGGGGGTGGGATCCGATGGCACCGCGGTACAAAGCTGCCCGGATCTTCATTGCGGCCTGCGCCACGCAGGACATCGAAAGTCAGAGGGTTTATATGGGAGTTTCCGAAATTAGGGGTACCTTATTTAGGGTTCCTTATAATAAGGATCCTGCTATTTAGGGTCCTATATTGGGGTCCCCTGTTTCCGGAAACTCCCATATAGGGCCGAGCTGGGCTGTATGGTTCAGGATCTCTTGGGATTTAGCGATCACGGTGCAGGCTTGCGTGGCTTAGGGTTTCAGGATGTCTCAGGTCTACGCTTCGAGTTGATGGGAACCTCGAGTACTTTCATGCAACTTGAATGAAGGGAAGGATGGCATCACGATATGTGGCTTGGCACTTTGCTGCAGACCTCGAGGGAAACAACTCGAAGGTTATTGCAAATTCAAGAGCTCCAAGCCCCATAAGTCGTGCAAAAGCCGTCATTGTATGGAGCCAGGTTAGGCTCCGCTCTCCGACAGGCGGTGGAACCTGAATGGAATTGTATGTATAAGTCGTCAGCGGGGCCGAAGAGGTGCATCCACTCCTAACTACTTCCACCTTAACCCGCAATACCTTGCATTTTTAAGGACGTAAAAAAGGAATCATAATCAGGAACCCCCAAAAGGTAGGTTCTGCAGGGTTATAAGGCAAAGACACAACCCCCGGAACCGCGAAACCCTAAACCCTAAATCCCAAAAACTGGTTCCTTGGCACCCTGTAAAGCATTGCAGGCCAGCGTGGAACGCCAGCTTGCTGTGCCTCGACGCAGCAGTGCCTGGATTCGAAAGATTTGCTTCGTTTTAATTCCCAAAGGGTCCATGTCCTCAAACAGTATATACCTTGGCCCCAAAAGTATATAGGGACGACTGTAAGGCCAATCTATATACTACTTGGGTACATGGACCCTCAGTGATGATGTGTCCCAGATCCAGTGGCGTGTCGCTTGTCCCTAACCCTAAACCCTAAACCCTGAGAGAGCTGTGAAGATCTGTGGTGTGTCCCGGTGTTTCACTCGCCTACTCGTCAGGGAGTCCGCAGTTGGAACAAGGCATTCAATATTAGGGTTTAGGGTTTAGGGGTTTAGGGTTTAGGGTTTAAACCCTAAACCTTTCGTCGTTCGAGCCGAGGCTTCGTTGTTTCAGTCCTGCGTGGTTGTATCAACGACTGTCATATGGGAGTTTCCGAAAACTGGGGGTACCGTATTTTGGGGTCCCAATAATAAGGATCCTACTATTTAGGGTACCATATTAGGGTCCTCTAATTCTCGGAAACTCCCATATAGGGGCCTTAATAATTACCAATACTATTTGGGGGTTCCTGATCGTATCTATCGTATTTTCTCCTATAGTAGGTCGTGCCGCGTGTGTTTCTGCTGTTGTTGGCGTGAGCCTGGTTTTGACCACGACCCATGCAAATTGTCAGTTCATTGGTTCTGTGCGCGTTGCACTCTTTCGCTTGTAGATCCGTACTTGGAGGATGATGGGACTTAGTAAGTAAGGTTATAAGTTATAAGTACCTTAATGGTGGTTATAAGTAATTATAAGTATAGTTACCTCAATTATAACCCTAGTTACTAAGTCCCATGACCTTTCAAGTCGTATTCTCTTCACAAGGTGCGCGGTGGTGTCCAAGGGCCCGGAGTGTGACTTCAACCAGAATCAGACTGTCATGCAAACTGAGTTTGAGCTTGGAAAGCCTACACCCAAAACCGCTAAATCCTGAGCCATTTCAATGTCAAGGCAGGCGGAACCTAGACCCCCACGCCCTCCAAGTATGCCCTAACAGACCCCACATACCCAGGACCCTACACCCAAATACCCAAGATTAAGGGGGGGGATCCTCTGGGAAGGATGCTAGAAGAAGACAACCCTAAACCCCTGAACACCGCGAACCGCCTACACCCCTAAGCCCCTGAACCCCTAAACCCTGAACCCCGAAACCCCAAAACCCCGTAACGCTGGTTTGAGGATCATCTCCCCCGGCCCGAAAAGCTCTGAAACCTAAACCTGCAACCCTAGCCTCTATAAACGCTGAACCGATAAACCCGAAACCCCAAACCCTACTTTAGCCTACCAAAACCTACTCTTCGTAGGGTCCGTACGAGTTAATGCTAGGGTGTATAATCGGAACCACCAAAAGTAGGTCTTGGTGGGCAGATTAAAGGTACCGCCCAAACCCCACTGATGCCAGGAGACAGGAGCAGTCCTCACAACTTGGAAGGGACGATTGCCGATGTTAGCACCATGCTCAAGCAGCCGGCCTTGAAACACGAAACTTTTCGGATAGGGTTTAGGGTTTAGGGTTTAAAAGGGGCCAGAATATGGGTGCTTGTCAACATGGGTCCCTATTCTAATACGGCACCTATTATTTACAATTACCCCTATGCTATAGTATAGAGTTTATGCTATACCATGCTATACTGTACTGCACTGTACTACACTGTACAGTGTTATGCTATACTAGACTATATACTCTTGACCTGAGTCCCGAATGTTTCTGCAAGCACATTCTGAAGTGTTAGGGTTCGGAAGAATTTATAATTTTTCTTTGGGGTTCCGTCGTCTTCTTCTTAAGGTATCTCATGATTAACCCAAACCTTTGTTGTAATCGTTTAGGCCCCGATGTTATGTAGGGTCGAGGATCCAGAATTCTTGTTTGGGGAGTGACTTGTAGGCTTTTCGGTCCGTGGCGGCGCTATGCACACGTTGCAGGGTTTTAGGGGCTTTGCCTCTAGGTTTTAGCGTTTCGGATTTGATTTCGGGGATTTACCTTGTTTGAGGGTTTGCAGATGAACTTCTTGTAGGGTTGTAGAGTCTATTTGCCGTAGAGGGCTTGTAGGGTTCTCTGCTGCATAGGCTGCGGTCCTCCTGGTGGGTTTCGTCCAAGAAGACTATAATTGCTGCAGGGTCTTTTGGCCGCGTTGATGTGATTCCGATTTGGGCTCCACATCTCATCTGTGGACTTCTCGTTTCGGCGCCAGCCCGAACCTTCAGCAGCAAGCCTGAACTTGAACCCCAAGGTCTCCCTACACTGTAAACTCTCAGACGCCCGAGAAGCCTGCAATTCCACCCATGCGAGCGTGAAGATATGAGCCATACTGCAGTTGTAGACAACTCTGCAATAGTCCCTAACCCTATATAAGCGCTAAAGCGTCATACACCTAAAAGCAGAACCCCAAAAGACCCGCCGTAAGGCCGGCACATCTGAGGCTGTTTGAGGCTTGGGACAAGGCCGATGGAAAGACGCAGGTGCAGTACATGCAGCTTGACTCCCTATAAGTAGCTGCTACTCAGGGTTTAGGGTTAAAGGCTTTTGGCTTTTAGGGTTTAGGATTTAGGGTTTCAACCAGGACCCCCCAGTACATGCAGCTTGACTTAGGCTCATACCCTACCCCTTTCTTAGGGTATCTAGGTTTTTTATACCCCAAAGGGTCCAAAGTACCTTTGTGGTAGAATGTAGGGTTCCTATATTAGGAATTACTATTATGATTTGGGGAAGTATCCCCCATGACAGTACTTTGGACCCTCTGGGTACAACAGATCCTAACTCTAAAACTAGGCATCGAAGCAGCTCCCAGAACTCGAGACCCCGACCTAACTAATATTTTGCACCGCTTGCTGCACCGAACCAGAGCCTCTCATCCTCTGAGCTCTACATGGGCAGATGTCAAAACTATGGTTCCCTTTTTGGGGTACCCTAAATTAGGGTTTAGGGTTAAGGGTTTAGGGTATTATATTTAATTTAGGGTACCCAAAAAGGGATCATAATTTTGACAACCACCTACATACGACGGAATTTTTAGAGTGCGTGTCTCTGGTTACGGGCCGGGTTGAGGGTTTTAGGGTGCTGGGGATGGGGGTTTAGGATCCAACCACGACTTACGTGGCTAGACACAGCCTCCCCTGCTCCGAAAAGATCGGAAGTGTCAGCACAGGCACATCTACCAGATTCCTGGCGAATATCTGCCAAAGCAACAGGTGCCCCAGAGTTGCGTTGCAAGGCTTCCGTTGAAGTCCTCGGGTGAGAGTGGGCTGCAAGATGTGCAGGAGTTGCAAGTGTTCGCTGCTTCTGGTTTTTCCAACACATTCAAAACCCCATTTCTGAGCCCCAAACCCCAAACCTAAAGTATCTGAACCCCTAGTTAGCACAGTCGCAGCTAGAAGCATAGTCATGCCTGCGAAACAGGGCTACTAGGATACCCCACGACTTTGGTCCCATTGGAAGTATTATGTCTGGAATAGTGGGCATCATGCACTTTTTGGTAGAAGCCCTGAAGTTCGTTGTAGGAGCCCAACCTTACACCCTAAACCGAGGAACCCACAAACCCAGAGCCTGTCCTGCAAGATCACCAGTGGCAGTGGGTTATTTCATGGACTTGTGGGATGTACGCTTCTTTCCCTAGAGGCTCCATATACAGTACCATTATGGAATTAGGTCCCAAAAGCCATGATATGGATGGTCTTTTGGGACCTAATTCCATAACGGTACTATATATGGAGCCTCTGGGTTCCCGGGTAGAGAGGTTTGGGGTTTGGGCTTTGGGGGTTTCGGGTTCAGCAATTTTAACGAACCATCATCCTGATGGCAGATATCATGTGCTGATACTGCTACTGTTGGCCGCGTCCCTGTGCTTGCCATAATCTCTCATCCAACACCCTAAAATTCCAAATGCTTAATTATCATATACTCCCCAAAACAGTAACCTACATAACTAGTCCTTTGGACCCTTGGGCACAGTTTCCTGGACTCCTCAGCCAAGACGAAGAGAGCCTAAAGCAGACACTGGGTGGTAGGACGCTTTGTATAAGGACCTCAAAGCAACGTGCCCGTAAATATCGGAAACCAACGATGTGGTTCATATCATAACGTATAATCTATATCATAACATGTCATATCATATCATCCCTTATCATCGTGTTGAAAATCTACCAGATCATATCATGTCACATGTTATCTTATCTTATCATAGCATAGCATACCACATCATATCATATCGTGCCATATCAATTTCATAGCGTGGGACTATTTAATATCAAGATATGATAATACTATGATATCGTAGTATCATAATATCTGAAGATAGATATGTCATATGGTCATACCATAACTTGTCACCTCGTGGAAGGTGATGGCCACAATCGAAAAGGCCATGGACACGGCGGAGGACGAGGTCCTCCTGTGGTATTCAGGCCCGGTTTAGGGATTCAGGGTTTGGAGTTTAGGTGTTTGGGTTTTAGGGTTAAGGGCATTAGCGTAAGAGTAGGGTTTAGGTTTGTGAGATGGGATCCTGAACCTAATTTCATTTAATTTCTATATATACAAGCCGAAGCAGTTTTCGATTCACAGGCTCCGACAAACGCCGACCGAATTCGGGATTCGTCGCGATCACACATCCCGAACCCCTGAATCCTGAACTCGAAATCCTACCATCTAAACCCCGAACCCCTGAATCTTGAACTGAGAATCCTAACTCCCAAACCGTGAGACTCCAAGGCGCAAAAGCCCGGAATCCAGATTCCTGAGTCCTAAACCCCCAAGAAACCTACCTGTTCAGGGCACCTTAATATGATGTCCTTTTTTAGAAGCCCTCAAAAGGTAGGCTATTGGGGTTAGGATAGCCCCTAAACCCTAAACTCCTTATAGAAGCCCTCAAAAGGTAGGCTATTGGGGTTAGGATAGCCCCTGAACTCTAAACCCTGAACGCCTAAACTTTAAACCCTGGGCCCTAAACCCTACCTATCGTGGCAGGCCACGGCCAGTCCATAACCGGCAACTGGACCTTTCAGGACTATCGGCTCCTGCTCCTTTTAAAGGTGTAATAAGGTTTAGGAAGCAGCAGTTTGAGTTTAGGGTGAAGGTTGAGGGTTTAGGGTTAAGTCTGTTTTGTTACCAGCTTTATGGTTGTTGTTGCGATTGCTCTACCGAGTTATGTGGCATGAACGGCTGAAGTGGCCATGATAGGCATAATATTAGGTTTCTTCTTTTAGTAACTTGGTAGCCAAACTATTGAAACATCTAGCAGAAGGACACCTTGTACAAGACTCCATTAAGGCAGCTTGCAGCGTAACGAATTTCTGCACCCAAAATATAACACTAACTCTTTTCTGAAAGTAAGTGAAGGTTAAAATCCGCCCCAAACCTCAATGCCAAGGCAAATTCCACAAATTGAGATTAGAACGCAACCTAACCCCGATGCTGAAATGCCCAGGAGGAGGGCGAGGAGAGGTGCAACTATGTCACCTTCGACGAGCCTGTGCCTGCTACATGGGAGGATCCTTAGTATAAGGACCCCCAAAATAAGGTACCCCTAATCTTCGGAAACTCCTAAATAGTCTAGGCACCTGACCCAGTTTGGGCCTCTTCAAGGGCTCTTAATGATTAATGGGCCCTAAGGGTCCATGTACTCATGTATCATATAGTATATACATTGGCCTTAATGTAGTCCCTTTGTAGGTACTTTGGGGCTCATGTATCTCTATATGGGTACATGGACCCTTAGGGGGGTGGATCCGAGGAAGTCGGGGGCTAAATGCAAACTCTAAACCTTAAGGCCCTAAATCCGCAAAGGACCCAATAATTAGGTACTCGGTTTTAGGATAGTAGTTATGTAGGTTGCTATCTAGGAGAGTATATGAGAATTAGGTACTTGGACCCTTAGGGCTAAACCATGGGTTTCCTAATCAGGGTACTTCAAAGCTGTCCCAAAGGTCCCGCTGAACCCTAGGATTTTTCTCAAGAGACCCGGTACTGCAAAGAAACCCCAAAACCCTAAAACCCCCAGCCATAAACCCTAACACCCTCATGCAAGGAAATTCCGAAGCCCGAAACCCTAAACCCTGAAACTCCCAAGCCCTAAACCCTAAAACCCTAATGCAAGGAAATTGCGATGCCTGAAACCCTAAACCCTAAAACCCCCAAACGCTAAACCCTAAAGCCCTAATGCAAGGAAATTGCGATGCCTGAAACCCTAAACCCTAAAACCCCCAAACGCTAAACCCTAAAGCCCTAATGCAAGGAAATTGCGAAGCCCGAAACCCTAAACCCTGAAACCCCCAAACCCTAAACCCTAAAACCCTAATGCAAGGAAAATGCGAAGCCCGAAACCCTAAACCCTAAAACCCCCAAACCCTAAACCCTAAAGCCCTAATGCAAGGAAATTGCGAAGCCCGAAACCCTAAACCCCAAAAACCCCCAAACCCTACACCCTAAACTCTAACGCAAGGAAATTGCGAAGCCCGGAACCCTAAACCCTAAAGCCCCAATCCCTAAACCCTAATGCAAGGAAATTGCGAAGCTTTGGGGCTCCCGCCGCCGCACTGCGAGACTCATCTTCAACGTGTCTTTGAGCCTGTTCCTTACCCAGAGCCTCCATATATAGTACCATTACGGAATTAGGTCCCAAAAGACCATCCATATCATGGCTTTTGGGACACATATAATTCCATAACGGTACTATATATGGAGCTTCTAGGTTACGGACCAAATGACCCTTAAAAGGTTGGGGCCCGCTGCCCTTATACCATGAAACTCTATGTTGTGTATGAACCTTAAACCCTTTTAGGGTCCATCAGGTTTCAGGGCTTAGAGATCTTCGAGGATGAGTAATGTAGGGGCTTAAATATTTACCTCTACTAATTTTTGGGGGTGCCTTATTACAATAATCTTATACTAATTTTGGTGGCTCCTTGTTATGATTATAGTATAGTATTCCCCCAAAACCTTATTCTAGTTATTCAGGCCTCTATATTAACGGACATAGCCGCTTCGAGAATTACATTAGGTCTCGGGCTTTGGGGGTGTCTTGGAGTAAGGCAAAACTAAACTGGTGCTGCTGTCCCCGTACTGAACAAAGTCCGAACCCTCATAATTACTTCTAGGACCTAGAGTAGGCCCTTATTCCCTTTTTAAGGGTTTCAGGTTCCCTTATAAGCCCCTTTAAACCAAAAAGGGTACTCATAGGAGGCCAATAGGGCTTTTAGCCAGTGGGGCTTCAGTAGGGAAACCGGCGAACCCTCCACCGCCAGTCTTGCTCAATCCCTCACTTGGGGGGTCGGGGGACTTAGTAAGTAGTTAGTAAGTAGACTTACAAGTAGACTTGTAAGTAACCTAAAGGGACCCTAACTGGGGTTGTGGTACTTATAAGTCCCTAAAGTAAACTAAGTCCCCCGACCCTCCAAGTCAAGGCACCAAACCTTTGCCTCAAATCCTACGCCTTAAGGGTAGTTGCCTCACTAGATTCCTGAGTAGAAGCGTTTGCTCTTTGTATTTTAGGGTCCCCTTATTAAAACCGATTACGAAGCAGGAATAAGGATACCCTTAGGGCTACTCAGACACCTAGTTTAAAGGGACGCTTAAAGGGAACCCTATCACAGAACCCCGTGGTACTCCTAAGGGATCTCAAGCCTCTCACCCTCTAAGTCTAAAGCGCAAGCATGTTATGAGCATCGCCGTAGCCGCCACGACAATGGACCGAAGATAAGTACTCGCAGAATCCAAGAGCACCCCACTCTGCCGAAAGCAGCTGCCGGGTGAGTTTGGGCGGCATACCTGCGAAACGCGCGACAAGAGAGGCCCTTGGGCACCTTAACAAAAACAACAAACTCTGAAGCACACAACAAAACAGTGCTTCAACGCAATGCTGATAAATGTGGCTTTCGACAGCTCGACTTGACGTTGTTCCAATGTCTCAGCCCTGGCCTTGCGTTGAGGACTCTCCATATTTTCATGGACTCTTGCTATGCCGGTGCTTGGGCCCAGGCTGGGGATTGCCTCGTGGCAGTTTCGACCACACAGGGGGTTTTGGGTGCTTGCCGTTGGTGCTGTAGTTGTTGGACAAATTCTGGATCTAGGGGAGAAGGGTTAAGAGGCTAGTGGGCTTTTGGAGTTGAAGGGTTTAGGCTGCCGGTGTTTATGATTGTGGGTTCACGCAGGCTGTGAACTTGTTCTTGACCTTCGTTGCAGTTCGGCGGAATGACTACTACATCAGTATGCCTTTTCAACCCTAAACCCTCAATGTCTAGCAATATCTGAACCTCCTGTATAGTACATAGTATCCCTATCACTACGCTAGTATGCCGCAAAACCCTACTCGAATAAGAAAGGCCTCCATATCTTAGAACCCGTGTTGCAACCCTCATAGCAACCCGTTAAAGGATTCCTTGAAGGAGACCTGTATGAATCCTAAACCCTAAACCCTTCAAATTCTGCATGACGATGAGAGCTTTCAGGAAGCCTGCCGCCTCGGCCCTGCCGCGAACATCGCTGTTTTCGCAGCTTGCCAGGCTCGGTTTGGGGCTTATGACTTTGTACTGTGTTCTCTAAGGGTTTCGGTGAATGGTTTGTAGAGCCTCTATATAAGTTTTCTTTCTGGGGGATTATCAAGAGTCCTAGATTAGAATCCATAAGGCCTTTGGTTTAAGCTTTCCTTTGAGGCCTACAGAGCCTCCATGAGGCCTCTGGCTTTGGAGTTATTCTACTTTCTCGTGTCAAGGTCTTGAGGCTTGAGGGCTTGGGTTGAGGGCTGCGTGCTTCTGGAAAGGTTAGAAGTTTAGGGTTTAGGGTGATTGAGTTTAGGGCTCTACTTTTGGGAAACCGCTTAATCACTGATCAGCTGTAGTGCGACAGCAGGAGCTCCGTAGTAACGTGTATAGCAAAAACAGTATTGTAGGAACCTGATTAAGAAACCCTGGGCCTATAGCCCCCAATAAATAGTAGGGTTCATGTAAGGAACCCGACAAAGGCCCAAGGTTTCTTAATCAGGTTCCTACATCAAACCCCTCAAAACCCTTACAATACCCTTATAGTACTCTTATATTCACCCTTATAGTAACCCTTATAGTACCCTTTAAAGGAGCCATTTAATCAGGTTCCTACATTATCGTTTGTCGACCAGCCCTCTCCACCGGAAACGCTGGAAGCCCTGTCTAGGATGCCCAGTAGTACCCTTCTTTCCTTTTTGTAATCCTAGGTTCCTTATAAAGCTACCCAATATCAAAAAGGGAGCCCTTTAATTTCCTAGGTTACTGGGCATCCTAGTTTTTCGAGCCCAACTCAACCACAGGCCTCCTCTAAGATTCCTTCGTCCTATCGCCACAAGAATCGACAACCCAAGAGCCATGATTTAGCAGCCGTTCCACTACCATCGAAGTATTTACTCCCTTGGTAGTAGAGTTTTGTAGCCTTTCTCGCGAACCCTAAACCTAGATATATTCGAAGCAAAATTTGGTGGGGGTTTCAGCTGTGTCAGGCAGATGAGACAGCCTCTTGCCAAACTCTCTGCTGAATGTTTGAGGTTTTGGGTTCAGGGGTTTAGGGATTAAGTGCCTTCGGGCTTAAGGCTTTCAGGGTGTTGAACTTCTGTGAGTGACAGACACAGTGCCTACCGTTCCGGTGGATCTTCTGCACAGCAAAGTCGTTGCTTCATCTTACGTTGAGATCAACGGTTCGGGGTCCCCAAAGCCACAACCCTGAACAAACCCTAAGGGTCCATGTACCCGAATAGTGTATACTTTGGCTTTAAACTACTCCATATATAGGTACATTGGGCCTAAAGTATATACTATTTGGGCACATGGACCGTTAGGGAAATTAAGAGCGATCATCGCATTATATTCATGCGTATTGCAACAGATCCAAAGATCAGATCACGGGACTCTAGTTTGAGGCTTTACCCAGGGGCCCCAAAGTAGTTCCTTTTTGGGTAGTACATTAGAGTCCCTAATCAAAAAAGAGGGCGCACCCAAAAAGGAACTACTTTGGGGCCCCTGGGTAGGGTTCAGCATTAAGGGTTTAGCGTTTAGGGTTTGTGGGGCGGATCCACGCAGCATGGATGGTGAAAGCATGGTTCCGTACGAGTACGAGTCCGTCTGCCGCTGCCACTGCACGACTACGACTCCGACGACTTCTACTTACGGACCCAAAAAGCATAAGCATTTTAGAGGGATATCCAGGGCTTCATGACAAGGGGTTTATATGGGACATCCCTATACTAATTTTTGCTTGTGTCCTTTTATTTGGGCCCTAACCACTGCTCCTCATGCTTTTCATCCTGCTGCTGGTGCTGATGCTGCTAGTGATTTCTATTATCACCAGTCCTGCATTTACTACTACCCGTCGCAGGCGGCTTGTGCGTACTACGTTTTCTACTACTGCTTCTTCCACTGCTACTACGACAACCACTTCTACTGACGGTGCAAAGATCAGAAGAACTCCTTTCAAACCTCATAAGATGAGGGGACCCGATTAACAACCCTAGAGTACCCTTTAACGGAGCCCTTATAGGATCACTTGGAGGATCACTTAATGGGATCCCTTTCAGGAGCCATTAAACAGGTACCCTCAAAGGAACCTGTAAAGGAACCCCTTAAAAAACGCTTAACGGAACCTTTAAAGGAGCCCTTACAGTGGATCCCGTGAAACCAGGCTGGAGAGGTCCGGTCAGGTGGCGCTTTCACGCTGAAGTTGCTGGGACTCCGGTTTAGGGTTTAGGGTTCAGGGTGTAGGGTTTAGGGTTTAGGAGGACTTGGGTCGAAGAGGTTTGCGGTGTAGGGCAGAGGAGGGTTCAGGGAGTTTGGGCGAAGGGGGGCTTGTGCGAGGAGATCGAGATGCTGGCTTTGCGTGATTTGCCAGGTCTTCGGGGTCTCCTGGTTCTGACAGCCACAGCCCTGTTCCCCTAAGGCTCCATGTATCCTTATAGTAGATACTTAGGCCTTAAAGTACCTATATAGGGACTACTTTGGGGCTTAAGTATATACCACAAAGGTACATAGAGCCTTTGGGTTCGTGTTCGTGGCCACACGGGCAAAGGTTGTGGCAAAAGCAGTGGCAGTCGCCAAGACAAATCGGTAGTTGTGGCAGGGTGGTGCTCTGACCGCCCCTGGGCATCCCTTATTGATTGTAATCTATGCCCAGGGGCCCCAAAGTAGTTCCTTTTTTAGGTCTGTCCCCTTTTTTTGATTAGGGACTCTAATATACTACCCAAAAAGGAACTACTTTGGGGCCCCTGGGTAATCTGCATAGTAAATAATTATGTTGATATTGATTCCGTGGACGTGCTTCGTAGTGCGTGGAAGATCGGGGCCAGGACCTCGGTAATGAAAGGGTTAAACATATATGACACCCCAAAGTGCTCAGCCAGGTGTGCTGTTGGCAATCACGTACCAGGCAATATTCTCCCGCAGAATCGTAAACCAAAGGCAAGACCCACCGCCCCAGGGCCCTGAGAGGCCTGCAGCAACAACGATCATGTTCGAAATGCCCTAAACCCTAAACCCTCAGCCCTCTAAGATCCATTCCCTAAGCCCTAAACCCTAAGGCTCCATAGTAGTTCCTTTGTGTGGTTGATATTTAGAATACTATAAGGTAATCCCAAAAGGGAACTACTTTGGGGCCTCTGGGTAAATCCTAAACCCTTTCACCATGTCTCAGGATTCGAGATGTCGTATCAAGCGGCCATAAGTCTTCCTCAGATCTCCTCGAGAAGATCTACTTGACGCCCATAGAGGCCTGTGCCGACCTGCGGATTTCGGGTCTAGGGTTCTTGGGGTTTTGGGTTTAGGGGTTCTGGGGTTTAGGGTTTAGGGGATTAGGGGTTTTGGGGTTTAGGGGTGCAGGCTTTGGAGGGTTTCGGGGTTTGGAGTTGAGGGTCTTGGACTGACATGGCTTTGGGTGTACAGCTTGTGGAGGTGCAGGGCATTCTTCGGCTTATAAAGTGAGGGATTGGGATTTGGTGATTTGGGCATCGAGGTAGGTTTAGGTTTTTTTGGTTGATGAACGCAAGTCACAGAAGACTGGGACATCGGAAAAGGCCTAGAGCTTGCACCCTCGCGTTCAAACATGCTACGAAGTCGGGATCTCGATCAGGAATCGATATGGGGTGCGTAAGTACCACCATGAGTGTGCTGAAAATGCTTTGTGGCAGCATCTGTAGGCAGACCAGCATCCCTGCGCCTACTTCTCTGCTTGGGACGAGCGGCGCGTGGTGGGTGCAAGATGACTTGCGACTATGCTGCAATCTCGGAACCCTGAAGCCCGAAACCTTAAGCTCTACACCCGAGAGAACTAAACACCCAAAGGCTGCGCCGATCCTTGCGGTTGAGAATCATGTGATAAGGAAGCCCGACATCGTGGCTGTATGCTGATCTGGGGTTCACCAGGGCGGTCGTAGTTGTTACCTCACAGCGCAAAATCCAAGTTACATCTGAGTCTGGGAAGTAGCAATCCCGACTTGGCTGCGAGGTAGCCTAAGTCAGAGATTCGCGGCGTCCCGTGCATAAGCATTTTCAGTAAGACACCTTTTTGGCTTCTCCTGCATGCTACTTAGTACACGTTGCCAGCAGTTCTTAAGTCGTACATCCCCAAACTGTTTGCTGCTGCATTGGTACTTACTAAGACGGGCAAATGGCGGGATGGCCAGCGTTAGGCGGCAGAGAGATAGAGAGAGAGAGAGAGAGAGACCCAGAGACAGAGAGAGAAAGATACACAGAGACAGAGAGAAAGAGAGAGAGAGAGAGAGAGAGAGAGAGAGAGAACTCCGAAATTGCATCATCTTCCCTGGTGTTCGGGGTGATCGAGTTTAGGGATGTTTAGGGTATAGTCCACAGATCGAGAGTTAAGTCAGGTGTTCGAAAGACTCTATAGCCTGAACCTTCGACACAAATCCCAAGGTGAATCCTAAGCCATATGGGTAGTTATCAAAATTAAGGTCCCTTTTTGGTACCATAATAGGGACCCAAAAAGGGACCCTAATATTGACAACCACCCATATCTCCCTAAACCCTAAAACCTTTATAGAACCCCTATGGATCCCCTTTAAGGAACCCTTTAAAGGAACCCTAGGGACCATAACTTTGACAACCACCCTAATATGTCCCCAAGCTTTAACCCGGAGCCGGTGCCGTACACTTCCAAACGTCCCAAACTACCCAGGGGCCCCAAAGTAGAACCCTAAACCCTAAACCCTGAACCCTAAACCCTAAACCCTAAAACCCAAACCCAAAGTAGAACCCTAAACCCTAAACCCTGAACCCTAAACCCTAAAACCCTAAAACCCTAAACCCTAAACCCAAAGTAGAACCCTAAACCCTGAACCCTAAACCCTAAAGCCTCATACTAAAGCCCCGTGATCTGATCTTTGGATCTGTTGCAATAGGCATGAATATGCGCAGGGGCCCCAAAGTAGTTCTTTTTTGGGCGTGCCCTCTTTTTTTGATTAGGGACTCTAATACCACCCAAAAAGGAACTACTTTGGGGCCCCTGGGTATCTACGGCCTCAAGCTTCAGGCCGGCTGCGATTCCAGCAATCTGCGCGGGTTAGGATGTAGGAGATTCAGTGTAGGGTTTCGGCGCAAAGACGGTGGGCCTATTTCTGAGCTGAAAATACATGCATTGCCTAGTAGTAGATGGGGCAACCTTACGCCTGTTCGGGTAGTATCATCCCTATCCTTTATAATCCCAAAGATTAATTAATCTTTAGTTGCCCTAGAATACTGGACAAGTACGATTGGGCCAAAAATTGGCCATCTCAGTAGGGCCTTTAGAATCTGTCCTGGAGCCGTTTGAAGATGACACGACATTGTCGGTTGTAAGTTATATATGACCCTAGACAGGCTAATTCGAAACCGACATACGAATTTACGACATACGAATTTACCAGCCAACTCAGTCACCTGGAGTTTTCGAAATTTCGGGGTACCTCATTTCGGGGTCCTACTATTTGGTTCCTACTATTTAGGGTACTATATTAGGGTTCCCTATTTGCGGAAACCCCCACCTGAGCCGGTAAGAAGGTTTTGGCCTAAAGTTTTGGCTTGCTTAGGGTTTTGTCGGCCTGCGGCCAGCTAGCTTAAGGGTCGGTTTAAGGTTTGGGGTTTAGGGGTTTAGGGTTAAGGGGTCTGCAATCCTCCTTCTGACTATAACTTAGCACTTTCAGGAGGCTAGGATCCTTGGCATAAGGGCACCTTGATGACCTCCCCACCTTATCGCCGTAACCCGAACATCTGGCTGCGTGCCATCTGCCACACGATCAGTACTCGGAAATCTCTCCACGGTCTCTCCTTGTCTCTGCTGGGAGCAATTGCAGGCTATCTTAGTCCTGAGCAGCTTTCTGTAGCCTAGCTGGGTATGCTTAGGGACATGAGCAGCCACTTCTTTGTGTGCATGTACCCAGAGGCCCCAAAGTAGTTCCTTTTTGGGTAGTATATTAGAGTCCCTAATCAAAAAAGAGGACACACCCAAAAAGGAACTACTTTGGGGCCGCTAGGTATGTATGTATGTATGTCTTTCTGACGCACGTACGTGTGCACGCATCTGGATGGATGTACGCATGTACGCATGCATGTATCGCTTGCTAAAGTAGGTAGGGATGAGATCATTCCCGGCCAGGGCATTCGTCAATTAGCACAGTGTTCGAACTTCACCCACTGGGGGGTCCTTGCCTTGCACAGTTCGAACCACACTGTGAAATTATACAGTCGAGAACGACTGATGTTATCACTGATGATGACGACTGTGATGAGCATAGTCGCGTCGTTCTTGTTGCTGTTGTTCTTGTACTTGTTGGTTGCTGCTGCGTTGGTGGTAAAGCTTCTACTGGTTGCGGCGACGGTGGTGGTTGTGACTGTGTTGATTGACACTGCGCACGGTACGAGTACTGCTCGCAATTAGAAGGAGACTATCTTTCTTCCCACTGTTTATGAAGATGTGAACCTCCAGTAGGAAGTTTGGGTTTGAGCTGTGGAGGCGACCCGATTGCCACGAGCACCATGTCGTACAGAGGGCTCGGGGACAGTCTTATCTTTGGTTCGTATTGAATGGAAGAGTGGTAGTAATAGTAGTTCTAATTGTACCCCATTCCTCCATTCCCTACTAACCAAAGGTAAGTATAGATCCCTTATAGTAACCCTAGACGCCTAAAGATCCCTTTAAAGGAACCCTATAGACCCCCTTAAAGGGAACCCTTCCATTCCCTACTAACCAAAGATAAGCAGTGCGCAGGCGACGGTGTACAGACGCTGCCGATGCGAAAAGATCTCTTCAAGTTAGCCACGGGTTTAGGGTTTCAGGGTTTTAGGGGTTTTTGGGTTTAGGGGTTTTGGGGTTTTTGGGTCTAGGGGTTTAGGGTTTAGGGGTTTAGGGGTTTAGGGGTTTTTGGGTCTAGGGGTTAGGGGTTTAGGGGTTTAGGGGTTTAGGGGTTTAGGGGTTTTGGGGTTTAGGGGTTTAGGGGTTTAGGGGTTTAGGGGTTTAGGGGTTTGGGAGTTTAGGGGTTAGGGTTTAGGGTATAGGGTTTAGGGGTCTAGGGGTTTAGGGCTTAGGGTGTAGGGGCCTAGGGTTTTGAGCAAGTTGCCATTCAGATGTCGCAACAGGCACCGGGGCAGTGGTGTTCTCGAGTGTGAGGATGTTAGGGTGTTGAAGTACCAGGGCACCTGGGTAGTAGGGTCTTCGGGTATGAGGTATTCGGGTACTAGCGTATATAGGGGGGGTACCAGGGTGAGCGGGTCTTCGGGTATTAATTAGAATGCTGTAGGGTATTGGGTTTTTGCAGCACCAGTGTAACAGGGGATTCGCGTGTAGGGTCTTATGGTACTACTAACTGAGTACCAACGTATTAGGGCAATAGGGTAACAGGGTATTCGGGTATTAGGGTTTAGGGTTTAGGGTATCCGGGCACGAGTGCCATGAGCCCTCGGGTATTAGGATGCTGGGGCATGAGGTTATTACTTGGGGGGTCGGGGGACTTAGTAAGTAGTTAGTAAGTAGACTTATAAGTACCCTAAAAGGGACCCTATTGGGGTTATGGTACTTATAAGTCCCTAAAATAACAAGTTACTAAGTCCCCCGACCCTCCAAGTAGAGCACCAGAGCAATAGGGTGTTCGGCTATGGATACCTCTCCTCGTCATTTGCAATAGCAATCCCAATGCGTAGTCGACAGTCCTATAATGACTTTTAGGGTCTAGGATTTCCACCAGCACCGACAGATTGCCAAGGGCGATGTCCACCATCAGCAGTCAGGAGGCATGGCGACGGCTTGAAGGGGACTTGCTGCTTTTCGGAGTATTAAGAATGTAGTCAAACTGTATTAGTAGTAGTTTGAGAAGAAGCAAGATTAATGCTGAATATGCGGGTCGCTTTGGGGAATTTCAAGTCCGAGAATCTCAGGCTAAGGCTTGGAGGTTGACTACATCTTGAGCGCTAGACCCTAAAGCAGCTTCGGTTTCGGTTTAGGATTTGGATAGTTCTTGCAAGTAGGATCCCCTTTCGGATCCCCAGAGAGTGCAACAGGGATCTTAAACAGCCCAAGCGGGCCTTAGTAAGAAGAAATTCCTGTAGGACGAGGAAGCGGAGAAGGAGTCAAAGCGGCTTCCCAGCAACCCGGATGCCATGAGCGACCCCGGCAGGGAGACGTTGTGCTCATCGATGAGGTCGTCGAGCAAACCCGAGAAGATCCGGGGGCCAACCCGTCGTGCTGCCAATGTCGGCCTTACGCCTCGAGGGGGTGCCCACCGCCGCCATGGGCACACGGGGAGATCTTGGCCAAGTCCGAAGGGTACAAGCATCAAGCTTCTGCTGGCCTCGCTGAGACCTAGCTGACCCAGATGCAGAAAGTTACCGAAGCTCAAGCACCGGCCCGTTGAAGGAGTACATCTTGAGCCGTCTTTTCGAGCCAGTGCGATCCCACGCCGGCGGAGACTCGCGTGGACAACCATTCTTCACATAAGCCGTGGGATGGCACAGGTCCTTTTTAACTCAGCTTCGACCATGCTGCAGATAAAACTTTGAAGCAATGTTGTACACCTGTGATCAGGCATGGAGTGCCCCCACATGTAGTCCTGCAGGCTCAGCGGACCGAGAAGAGCTACAGCCAACATATATACATATATATATATATACATATGTGTATATATAATTATATGAGGGGTATTTTATTATATATTGTACTATGTACATATTATTTAACAAACATCTGAGACACACAATCACCTGCGCACACACATAC